AGTGTCCCGGCCAGGGGCAGCAGCCGGGAGGGAGGAGCAGGACCTTGTGCCCCTCGTGCCCCGCGCCAGGACCACCCAGCCCCACCGGCACGGGGCCGCTGTGCCGCCACCTCCTCCCCGACCCGCTTCGTGCCCCGGCGCGGCTTCCATGCGAGCAGCGCTGCCAGCGAACACGCACAGGCAGCGCCGGGCTCTGCCAGGGAGCCAGCAAAGCAAACGCTAAATGTCACCACAATTACGAGGCGCTCCCGCAGCCCCAGCGTCGCCGGCATAGGAGCTGCTCCACCAGCCCTGCACCCGCGCAGGAGGGATGGGAGAGCGGCCCTACCCGGCTCTGGCACATGCTCTGGTTTCTTCTGAGCCTCAAATCCCTCGGGCTCTGTTAAACCCAGCATCAGCTGGGCTGCATGGGCAGGGGGAAGGTTTCTGCAAAGCTGCCATTTTTATTTCTGGCCCAGCTCTGCCCTGTTTTGCTTGGGCACAAACTGTTTTCTAAAGGAAATGGGTCTTCCTTGCACCCTCTCACCCCTGAAATGTGGCTCTGGGGCTTTGTGGTCACCCCCTGCCTGGGCCAGCAGCTCCTGGGGGGCTCCAGACCTCCCTGTCAGCCCCGGGTGGCACTGCAGGACAGGGAGGGAGTTTCTGATGTGACTCTGCTGCTGTGGGATCACCAACAAGGCATGAAATCCTCCTTTCCCGAGGAGTCCATGGGACTGTGCATACACAGGGCTGGGTAAGATGCAGCCCCAGATGAAGAAGAGGGCTCTGATGGGCACAGGGGACCCTACTTGCCTGTGAGGACTGTGGCTGGTCCCACTCCAACAGTCCAAGCCCCAGGTCAGAGCGTGGCTAGCATGTGGCTCTGGACCTCATGCAGGGCAGCTTTGAACATCTCCAAGACTGGAGATCTCACCACCTCTCTGTGCCCTAGTCTACTCTTCGACCCTCACAGTGAAAAAGCTTTTCCCTGCTTAGCTATAGGGAAATACAGCTGGAATTTCCCATATCCTGGCTTGTGGCTTTAGAACCTCATTCTCTCACTCCTCTCAGGAGATAACTGTGGAAAGCAATAAATTTTCCATGAGTGTTTTTTCCTGGCAGCTGAGAAACCCCAGGTCTGCAGGCAGGGAGCTGCTGGGGAGGGGAATGAAGGTCACCACATCCAAGGAGAGGAGAGGTGGTCCCTCTGACCCTGCTGCCTTGATCACCCTCCTCCTCCCCCCGCTCTCCTGCTCGGTGCAGCACCAGCAAGGTGGGCACCCACTTCACACCGAGGGCTCACAGAAGTGGCCACAGTATTAATCACTAAACTAATGGAACCACTAATGGTAAAAATAATGATTATGCCCCTTGCAAACTATTGAGGCTTTAGGAACATCTGTAACCTTCAGGCTGGCCAGAGTGCCATGGTGTGTCAGGGTGTTCATAATTCCCAGAATCTCGAGGTTTGTGTGTGGTAGGCTTCAGACACTTTGGGGATCTCCTGAGCACCATTTTTCTCATGGTGGAGTCTCCGTAGACAGCTGTAAGCCTAGAAACTACTACATCCAACCCCCCACCAGTGTGTTAGGACTGTGCTGCAAGAGCATCAATGGCCAGGTCCTGACCACTAGCAACCCACACACTGCTTCAAGCAGCAACCAGAGAACCAGCTCTGCAGCAGCTGTGGCATCCTCCAGCAACCAGCTGACAACAAGCGACTCTACTGGTTTCTTGGCAGATATTTTAATAGCATCCTTCCCTCAAAATGGTGTTTGCTTTGCCTAGGCAAGCTGCACAGACAGCTCCTGTGTTGGTTTTGGTGGAGCAGCTTGGCAGATGAGAGCTGCCATGCTTTCCTCTTCTGCTGGGGTCTGTGCTGGGCTGCTGATGCCACCTCACACAGGCCTGGAGGGCTTCAGCCTGGGACAGAGATGATTGTGGCACTGGGGGTTCCTTCTCCTGATGCTCTTCCCTGGGAAGGAGAGAGTTCTGAGAGGATGGAGCACGAAGGATGAAAATGTGGAGCATGGGCACTGCAGCCACCTCTCGCAGCCGCCCCAGGCTGGGCTGTCCCAGCGCCGCGGAGCCGCCGGGCAGGCGCCGGTGCTGCCCCGCACGGATCTGCTGGTAAAGCTGCTCTCTGGAAAGCTGAGGATGAGCTCATTTTTTTGTGGGTGAATTATCTATGTGATGAGTGATTCACCAGTGCAAAACAAGACTGGTGTGAGAAACAGGCTGGATTTTGGAAAGAGCTGTTTATGTGTGCAGGACCCGGACAAAGGAACTCGGTAAGGAGAGCAGCAAGGAGTAAATAAAGGTGATGTGGGTCACTGCAAAGGGCACTCCAGGAGCTGCCAGGAGCACAGGCAGCGTGGATGGGATCTGGGATGGGGGTCCCAAGACCAACATAATTACAATAATAACCTCTTGATTATAAACAACAAAACAATCATTTGGGACGCATGAAGTGAACCCACAGGCAAAGCTGCTCCTGTGTGTCTGCCCAATGAGAGCTCAATACAGGACCTGAGGACAGCAGGTACTCTAGAACTGAGGAGCTCCCTCTGAACACAAAGGCATGCTTGGCCTGCTGAGAAGGTCTCTGAAAATGGTAAAATACATCAGTGCCACTTGTAAAAGCCCGGAGAGGATGCCATATCACATCAGCACAGCTCAGAAGGCATTCTGAGGATATTCACATGCAGCCAAAATATATACATTTATGATAACACACAATACAATAGATTTTTATAAAAGATAATGCTGCATATATGTGTACAAGACAAAGTTAGGTGTTAAATCCAGGAACAAGAGATAAGACCCAAAGACAAATGTTAGAGCTTGGCCACAGAGGCTGAGATTTAGTAGGGATATCACTCAAGTCCACAGCCATCCAGGCCCAGACAGAGATGAAGGGTCTGGGTTTTAAAGGATGAGATTATTTTCAGTTTGGGTAGAAAGCAGAGATATTGGTGAATGAACTCAGCAGAGAAAAGGGAAAGCTCTGCATTGAGCATACAAAGCAGAGGCAGAGCCATTGGGGCAACAGGAAGATCCCAGCACCTTGGCACAAACACACTCTTATTCAGCAGAAAAGATGCCCGATGTAATTTATGATTATTTTTAAATAGAGCTGTTACTTAACTCATGGAGTAGCAGCATAATAACACCGTGTAGCTGGGTCAGCACGGGGATGCCATATGAATTAATAACAGAAAATGGCTCGTGCTCACTCACTTCCTGCAATTTCCTTTGCTCAGTGAGCTCAAGCGTAATATATTGGCTCTTGCTATCTGCATCCAGGCACGTTAGCAGGGAAGTCAGGAAAAACTGACACAGGGAGGATAGGGAAGATTAAGGGAATCCCTGTTTAGCAGTGTTAGGGTGCCAGACAGCAGCAGCCTCACAGATTTGGGTAGGTGAGCAGATCAAAGAATGGCACTTAGAGGGGCTGGAGGCAAAGTCATTAGAAAATCCCTTATCCAGGGAGAGAAACTTGAGGATTAAAAACACAACCAGTAAACGCTATCAACAAGCAAACATGGATTTCCAGGCAGAGGCAGCTGGTGGGTGACACTGCTTGGTCTCAGGGGCACCACACTCTGGGGTCAGTCCAGCCTGAGGATGAAGTACAGCTGAGCCCTCAGGACACCGGGGCACTGCTCTGCCCGGGTGGCTTTGGTCACCTCTGCCAGGCCAGGCACGTGGGTGAGACTTTTAGCATCTTTGCCTGGGTGAGCAGATCATCTGTGGGCTGCATAAGGCCCAATGGAGCTGTGAAATATGTGAAGTCCAGTTTTTGTGTTCATCCCACTGATGGAGGGGCCAGGGGACAGCGATGGTGTGAGCACAGTGTGGGTGTGAGTCAGGGCACAGCCCCAGGATGACACAGACCCCTTGTTGGTTGGGTCGTCGCTGCTGTGGGGATGGAGGGTCAGCAAGCAGGTCTGGGCAGGGTAACCTTCAGGTCTCAAAATCCAGGCAAAATCCTGAAGGAGTACAAAAAGCTTGAAAATGGCAATGGGTGACACGAGCAGGGAAACTCCAGCAGCACCCAGAAGAGCTCAGTGAGTGCCCAGCAGCACCCTGCCCCAGCCAGGGTGGGATGGAGGGATGGAGCGGGTTTGGATTCTGGTGCCCGTGTGCCTGGATTGCTGTCACTGGGGGGTTTGGCTGTGAGCTTTGGGTTCGGGGATGGGACATGGGGGGCTCTATGTGGGGCTGTCTGCTCATTTTGGCTGCCTGCCTGGGGACTCCCCATGCTGGAGGCAATCACAGTGGGGGGAGAGGGCAGCCTGGCTTCTAATATCTGCCAGGGCATGGCAGGAGCCAGGAAACACAGACCAGGAGTCACTCTCCCAGGGCACCTGTCCCCAGCCTACAGGCTCGTGTCTGCCTGTGCCACTGATGGGGGTCAAACCAGCAAGGTTTGACCAAACCAGCTCACCATGGTGGTGAGCAATGCTCCCCAGTGCTCTGATGGACCTGGCACCGCTGCTGGGACACAGGGCTGGTGTGACCCCCCACCCACCACTCTGAGCCCACCAAGTCCCCATGGATCAGCGAGCCCCTGTGCCTGGCTGCCCTGGAGCTCAGCCAGGACTGGGGGGCTGTCAGGGGAGCTCCTCTGCTCTGGTCCTGTGGGGGTGGCCGCGGGTCCCCTGGGACACGGTGGGGTGCACAGCTGATTCGACAGTGGGGAAAGGGCGGTGGTGGGGGCATTCCGGCCTCTCCCCAGCCCGGGGGCTGCAGGGGCTGCTGGGGGGACCCACTCCCCGGTGTTGTCCCACAGCCGCGGCCCCGGAGCGGCATCGCCCGCTCCCATCGCCGCGGAGCCGCTTCCAGCGGCGCTGGATGCTGAGTCACCGCGGGCCCCTCGGAGCCACTCGCGGGGGCCCGGCCGGCGGCGGCGGGGGAAGGAGCGGGGCCGCGGCAGGGGGGGTGGGTGCGGGGAAGGGAGGGGTGCGGGGAAAGATGGGGGTGTGCGGGACAAGGGGGGATGTGCGGGACAAGGGGGCATGTGCAGGGAGGGGGGCGTATGGGGCAGATGGGGTGTTGCGGGGAGGGGAGGGTGCGGGGCCAAGGGGGGTGCGGGGCGGGGAGGGGGGTGCCGGGAGGTGGGGGTGCGGGGCGGGGAGGGGGGTGTGCGGGGCGTCAGGCGCTGCGGCCGGCGGGCCCCGGCGCTGCTGAGCGAGAGAAATGTGAGGCGGCTGCACCACTGCGGCGGCACTGCGGGCGGCGGCGGGAGCGCGCAGCAGCGCCCGCGCCGCCGGGCCCCGGGGACGGTGGGCACGGAGCCGCCGCTGCCTGCCCGCCGCTGCCCGCCGCTGCCTGCACCTGCCGAGGGGCACCGGGGGGACCGGGGTCAGCCCCCCGCAGCCTGCGCTGCCCGACGGGGGTGTTGCATCAGCCCCGCGCCGAGCCGGGGTCCACGGCCGGGGGCGGCGGGGGGAGCCGGGGGAGGGGGCGAAGGGGCCCCCCCGGAGCGGCAGCGGCGCTACTGCCGCCTCCCCCGGCCTCCGGTCCCCGCGGAGCATCCGGAGGAGCCCGGCGCCGCCAGCCCGGCCTCTGTGCCCGGTGCCCTCCCCGCGCCGCCGCGGCGGCGGCCGGAGCGGGCGGCGGGGCCGGGGGGAGCGGGGCGGGGGGCGGCCCGGCCGGCGGGGACCGTCCGTGTGGAGCCGCGCCTCGGACCCGCCGGCATCCCCGGGGAGCCGCGCCTGGCCGGGGCAGCGCCGCATCCCTCTGCCTTTCAGATAACCTCCGCCGCTCGGGCCTGCGGACCCGCACCGGGCACCGAGGGGGGGCTGGCGGCTGAATCGAGACCCCCGCCCGGGGCCAGCGCAGGTAACGGCGGGCAGCGACCGGGGGGGGTCACCGTGCGGGCGTGCGGGACTGCACGTGTGTGTGTGTGCGTGTGTGTGAGGGGCAGCACATGTGTGTGTGTGCGTGTGTGTGTGTGGGGGCAGCACATGTGTTTGTGTGCGTGTGTGTGCGTGTGCGGGGCTGCACATGTGTGTGTGTGTGTGTGTGTGTGTGTGCGTGTGCGGGGTGCACTTGTGTGTGCACATGCGTGTGCACCGCAGGGCTGCGAGTGTGGGGCTGGGGACTGCGGTGGGAGGTCGGGGGAGGAGGGGGCTGCTGCGTGTCGTGGGGGGGGGGTTCTGGGGAGAGCTGTGTCACCGTAGAAGTCATGGGGCTATGGGCTACACTGGGGGGCTGAGTCACCCCAGAAGTGCTGAGGATGTCACCCCAAGGGTGATGGGGTGTGGGGTACAGCAGGGGGCTGTGTCACCCCATGGGTGATGGGAATGCAGAGTACATCAGGGGGCTGTGTTGCCCCAGGGATGATGAGGGTGCAGGCTATGTTGGGGAGGCTGTGTTGCCCCATGGGTGATGGGGTGCAGGCTATGTTGGGGAGGCTGTGCTGCCCCATGGGTGATGGGGTGCAGGGTATGGTGGGGGGGTTGTGTTGCCGCAGGGTGATGGGTGTGTGGGGTACAGTGGGGGGCTGTATTTCACCCCAGGGGTGATGGGGTGCAGGGTGCTGCGCCAGGGCTGTGTGTGGAGGGGTGTGACAGCAGGAGCGTGGGAACATGGTGACAGTGCGTGGCACTGCTGACCACCCGGATCGCTGTGCCCGTGGGTGCTGTGGGTGAGTGTCTCTGTGAGAGCTGCAGGCAGAGCCCCCGAGGCAGAGCCCCAAATATATGACATTTTTGGTGTGCAGGGTGAGGGGTGCAGTATGTGGGCCCATGATGGGGGATGCAGGACGTGAGGCCTCCCTCCTCAGGGCCAGATGCTTGCAGGACCCCGGTGCTGCCAGGGCATGGCCCCTGGGACACCCCGACTGGGGTTTGGCAGGGATTCATCCCCCCCCCCCCAGCTCTCAGGCACGTGGGGTTGAACCCCCATGGCCTCTCTTCATCCCCTAAGGCTCCTGCTGCAACCAGATGGCCCCCTCGGGCCCCCTCTGCCAGGCCTGGCAGCGCTCAGCAGGAGCAGGCATCCCTCTAACAGGATTTGCCGTGTGATGGAGGAAAGCGCCTTCGCCCCTCTCGGAGGAGAGCCAGGCTGGCGCAGGGGCTGCTGAGGGAGAAAATGGCCACGGGCTGGGTGCCTGCTCCCCATCTCCTGCCCCCAAATTTGGATTGTCCTCTCCAGAAGCCCCAGGACAAGGGCAGGGAGATGGGAAGGGGGAGAGGAAGCTAGAGGGAGGGATAATAGCAGGGACAGATCAGGAGCAAGCGATGGAGGTAAAAATAGATCCACTGAGCAGAGGAGGGGCTAAACGTGAGAGAAAATCCTGAGCAGAGGCAGGTCGGTGGAGGAGCTCCTTCAGGAGGGGCCCTGCGTCCCAGCGGGACACGGGGGGACCTGCCCTCCCATCCCCAGGGCAGAGGGGGGTTCCGGGACCCCACACTCAGGGCCACTGAGGGGGTGCCTGTGGGGAAATACCTGCCTGCTCCCATTTCCGCAGCCCAAGCACGCGGGCGGATGGACAGGACCTGCAGGGCTCAGTTGCCAAATTGCCGGGATGCAGGCAGGCAGGCAGGCATCCCGGGGGAGTGCTGGCAGCCGGTAGATCCCTGAAGAGCCTTGGATCCAACCCCCTCTCGCTTTTCATTTCCAGCAAGCAAGAAGCTGAGCTGAGGACAGAGGTACCAGGGACGGAGGGGACAAGGTGCCTGGTGGCCTCACAGCAGCCAAGGTGAGCTGCCCTCCGGCAGGGGATGCACCCTGAGACCCTGCCCTGTGGGAGCTGCCGGTGACGTTAAGTGGGAGAGCCGGGAAGTCAGAGCAAAGGAATTTGCAAACACATTCCTCAGCACCACGAGGATCCCACCGCGAGTAAACAGGAATAAAGGCTGGGCTGGGGCAAACTGAGAGCTGCCTCCGGTTCCTGTGAGACCCTCCCTGGATTCACCTGCCCCGGGCAGTGCCCGGCATCACCATCCCCAGATTACTGTTCCTGACTGCAACTGATCCGGCGGGAAGTGGCAGCGAAGGTGAAGAGGAGGGTTGCTGTGTGACTGAGGAGGGCTGCTGTGTGACTGAGGAGGGCTGCTG